AGACATTCACAGGAGCCAACCAATGCACAGTGGTAATACAAGACTCTGATGCTGAAGCCACATGAGGTCCTGGATTCATGTCCCAAGTGTTTCTACATGTGCTGGTGCACACTCACAGGTCCTTGATTTGGACTGTCTGATGCTGGGGGTAAATCGATGTGTGAAGACCCTGTTGGGAATATTTTTCTTTCTCTGTTTCTCTTTCTCAGAACAAATGGAGAATCAGCAGTTGGCATAATGGCTATGTCGCTGGACTCCCACGTAGTCGACCGCGGTTCTTGACCTGGACCCGGTGGCTTAAAACTCACGCCAGGCGCGTGTGTGTGCATACCCAAGATCCTGAGAGGAGAATGGAGGAGAAGGGATTGTGGTGTAGCCATCCCCCCTGGGGGGTGATTTCTCACTTTCTGTCTCTATGTCTCTGTCTGTCTGGCGAGCGCACTCACCCTATAGTGAAAAACCTCTCAAAAAAAAAAAAGAACAAATAAACCAGCTGTAAAGAAAAATTTCCAAAGAGTAGTCCATAGGACATTCTGTGAAATTCAGCTAGATGCTGCTTCTTTAGAGCCTTTCCACCTTGAGCTACCAGTGCATATGCCGTTAAGCACATTAAAATGTTACTTGTAAAATACCAGGTTTTCTATGGACCGCTGTGAGGTCTGCTGTTATTCACTTGCCACCATTCCCTTTAGGATGATGAGTTTATAGGTTTACACTCTCATACGTTGTCTCCTTTTATCTAAATCTTTCATCTGAATCTGTAATACCTGCTCACTCGGTCTTCTCAATTTTTCCCTCAGAATCACACAGTTTGTCATAGCATCATTTTACCTTCTGTGTTGAGTGAATGCTCAACTCAGTTGCCTTGAAAATTTTAGGCATAATGAATTCTTTGTTCAGAGTAGTAGGTTTCCTCAATTAGGCTATTCTGCTTATAATGGCAGGTCAGTTCTAGTGCTTTTTCATTCTTGTTAGATCCGATCCTCCTCAGTGCCTTTGGTACCCTCAGTTTGCATTGCTATGACAAGGCAGACCTCTTTCAGTGGAAGCTATCTGTGTGTCTGTCATACCCAATAGGCTCTGAGTTCTTCCAGTCCAGGGACCGCATCTTATTTCTTATTCATTTTTGCATCCATCTTGCATGACAGCAACTGGCACAATAGTTGGCATTTTATAATCCCTGAAAGAATTTATTCTGTGGAAATTTGTTCTGACTTAACTTTCTGTATTGCTCAAAGAGCTAAAAATTTGTTTGGGGCTGTATTTCTCATGTTTGGGGCTTAATTTGTCATGTACACACTTATAATTAAAGTGTGTAGTTGTATCTTTTTCTCATACTGATTTTCTTAATCTCCTTTAATATGATATCCTGTTTGAATAGCTTTTGGATTAGCAGGAGGATTATATATTTTCACTAATTAGTAAAGGTATTAAAAAGGGATCCCTTTGGGACTGCTTGATCTACCCACTTGTGCCCTTAGCTTCTAGAGAATCCGATTCTAGGGTTTCCTGTCTGTTATTTTTTTATCTGCCACCATCCAGATGTCTCTAAATTCAGTTCTATAATTATATTATGAGTAATTACTTGTATACTAGTGCCAAATATCTACCCAGGTTATGAAGCTGGTTAAACTCATAGTCCATGAGAGGTAGGGTAAATACTATGCTGAGATATATATATGTGTGTGTGTGTGTGTGTGTGTGTGTGTGTGTGTGTATGTGTGTGTATACATGTTGGGTAAAGTCACTTTATAAGCTAAATGATGTATACATACACACGCATATACACATATACACACACACATACACATATATATGTATATATATATTTAAACATGCAGAGGCTGCACTGGGAGCATAGAAAGGCACACATCACACATACCTGTGAGTGAAGGGGAGAAAGGACCTTAGGAGGTGGTCAGGGAAGGCTTCAGGGAGGAGCAATTCCTAAGGAGAGAACTAGGGAATACATGGAGTTTAGTAGCAAGGAGAGAGGGGGCTTTTCTGGCAGAGAAGAGGCAAGGACAGAGATAGAGAGTTGAAGAGCAGCATACCCTGAGTGTGGGGGTGGGCAGGTTGCTTGGAGCTAGCAAGTGTAGAATAATAATACCTTAACCACTGGAATCACTGCTCAGCTCAGTGGCCCTGGAGGCCATGTTATTAGATTCCAGATTTTATCCCATAGATTGGAGGAAGCAGCATCATTATCAACACTTTGCTTACTTGTGTTGATTTCTGGCCAAGATTACTGGAGTTGGGTTGTTAAGAGTCTAGACTTTGGAGTCAAATTGTCTGAATTTGAGTCCTGGCTCTGCCACTTCACTGTTGTATCGTCTAAGGTAACTGCACTCAGTTTCCTCATCACTAATATGGAGATAACAGATAATCTACTTCATTGAAATTGTCACAAAGGTTAAACCAGATGAGGGCCAGCAGGTGGCATGGTGGCTAAGGCGACTGGATCCCATGTGGCTGACTGCACAGTTAGAGTCCTTGACCCCGTGACTTGTAAAACATTCTGGGAGTGTTTGCATGCATGCCAAACATCATGAGAAGAGAATGGAGAGGGGATTACAGTGTGGCCATCCACCCTGGGGGCTGCTTCTGACTTTCCCTCTCTTTCTCCCCATCTCTCTCCAGCAAGTGCACTTATCCTAAAGCAAATTAAAAAAAGAAAGAAAGGAAGGAAGGAAGGGAGGGAGGGAGGGAGGAAGGAAGTGTAAAGAAGAAAGAAAGAAAGAAAAAGGAAGAAAAAGGTTAAAGAGATATTTTTAAATGCATAGACCAACAGGTGGCATATAGTGGGTGTGATATGCTTGTTAGATCAAAATGCATTAAGTAGATAATCATGTTCTGAAAAGTCTCTGCTAGGTCCCAAAGCTCAGTTAATGTCTTATAGAATGCCAAACTTTTTTTTTTTTTTTCCGAAAACAGTTTCTTTTTAACACTGAGTGTGTTGGGTGGTCTGCCTTTGAAGGTTTTTGTTTTGTTTCAGTATTGCATATTGTTTTGTATTTGTTTATTTTATACATTAAATCACTATACATCATTTAGCTTATAAAGTGACTTTACCCAACATGAATAAACTTCACACCAGTCCAGTTGAGTATACTATACATATTATCATCAATAGATAATAATACACTTCTGTATCCCATAAATATTTATTTTTCTCCTTGATTTCTTTCCTCACACTTTTCCCTCTCTCCTACCCTCTTCCTACATTGTCTCCAGTATCCATACCCATTTTCCATGCTTCTGTATTCTTTAATCTTTCAGTTTCTGCCATAGAATGGGGACAGTTGGTATAAAGTGGAGACATACAATGTCTCTGTGTCATAGCCTGGCTTGCTTCATTCAGCATTAAATCTTCCATATTCACCCACTTTCTATCTTGTCGTTTTTTTATGGCTGAGTAGTATTCCGTAGAGTATATGTGCCACACTTTTTCAATCCATTCATCTGTTCATGGACATTTGAGTTGGTTTCATGTCTTAGCATGCTTTTTGCTTTTTATTAAACCTTTCAAAATGCAAGGTGACTTTATTTGCTCACTTCTTCATTTCAAAGTAAAAGAATATGGATTTTCTTAGATATTATTAAATTTAGGCTTTAGGTCACATGGAGTATTAGATATGAGGAATATATCTAGAAGCTCATCAGTGTTAACTCAATTCTTTCTATGTTCTGTATTGGAGGAGTTGAGAGGTAGAGAAATCTAAAGAGATGTTTGCTTCTTTGGTTCAGTATTCCAGACTAACACAGAGCAGACTTCTATTACTTTTTTTTTAGTGACTGGTGGCCTTCAATGCCCCAACACACGTTATTACACAGATTTTGAGATGAATTAATTTTACCATTATTTTAAGGCATCCTCCCTATAAAAATTTTACTTGACTTCCATAGCCATTTCTTAATTGAAGAAATGCCAGCTTCCAAGGCTCTCAGGTTGCCATTATTTTCCATTTGAATATATTCTGGAATCCCTATGCCATCAACCTTTTACAACTCTTTTAAAATTATCCTGAAACTGCTTTTTGTTGCTAGCTGATTATATAGACTAGAATACTGTGGCACTTAAAAATAAGAACATTTGTTTTTATTTTTGTTTTAGGAACGTTTTTTTAAATGATACCAATTAGGATTATTTTGGCATGTAAATTGTTTTAAAACATTCTCTTTTTCATAAGCAGACTATGGGGAAATCTAGCAAATCCAGTTTTTTTCTTGTTATTAAAATAGAAACATTTGGTGTGACCCAGTATGAAACTTCACAGAGAAAACCATCAGTCACTTCTTAAATGATTTCTTGTGAAAGTATTCCCCTTGAATTCTTGACTTGTCAGTTTTCTGTTTCCTTTCCCTTTAAGATGGGTTTGCTCTCAAATTAGTGATGGTACATGTCTGTCTTTAGGCAACAACCTAATCTCTATGGCCATATGTGCAAAAGCAGTGTAATTACAATTTAGTATTAATTGGACTATGTGACTATTTTTGTTTTAATTATTTCAAATCATCTTATCTTTCCATTCCTTAAAGCATGTTAATGGGTGAATCCATGGCTACCGTGTTTATGTCATTTCCATGGAATTAAATATGTGCACATTTACATAAACTTGGTAAACAGTTCTGTTTCTTTTGTCTTTAGAATGTTATGACTAGATTTTCTTTCTTTCTCTGAGTATCATTTTAGACCTGAAGAAACAAACTATTACAAAGAATTGATTCTTTACATTTTGCTTAATGTATAGAACAAAGGTTAGGTCCAGATCTCTTTGACTGAGGAGATCTCACCATGGGGTTGATATAATAGGTTGTTAGAAAAATCTAAGATTTACTTTTTAATGAATCAGGGATTTACACACTAATATAGCATATTCAGTTTAAATAGTTTGGTAGGAAATTTTATATTGGGTATCTAATTTACTTGGCAGACTGTATGTAGAAACTGGCATTTATCTGTGTTCAGATTTTTAACTTTTGTCTCCCTATTTTTTCAGTTGTTTTTATTTCAGTTGCTGCGAGGGCTGTCTTACATCCACCAGCGTTATATTTTGCACAGAGACCTGAAACCACAGAACCTTCTGATCAGTGACACGGGGGAGTTAAAGCTGGCAGATTTCGGTAGGAGAGCAGTTAATTACCAGTCTATTTTGTCACACTGTGAGAATGCCAGGCAGATGGTGGCACTGCATTTGTTTAGGTGCACTTCTTCTGTCATATCATAGATCATGGTAAATTTTTTTTTTCTGGAAAGGAGGATTTTTAAAAATTTTTTTATGATAACGTAAAACATAATGCTTGGTATATTTTTATAAAATTCAGACTGCTTTTAGAGTCTTAAATAAGCATAAGCATACATCAGATTTCATTTAATATGTATTTCCAAAGAAAAAGTCAGTAAAATTTTAAGCATAAAATATACTTAAGGATGTCTATTTTTAGAAAGTTTTTATTATGGAAATGTCAAACTTAGGGCTAGTCCATGGCCTGTTTGTTGAGGCAGTCAGAGCCCACATAGCCAACCAACCATGAGGTTCAAGTCCTGGACCCAGTGGCTTTGAAAACATCCTATATATATGTGCATGAGTGCCCCAAATTCTGTTATGATCGAGAAATGGAGGAGAAGAAATTCAGTCTGACCACACCCCATTGAGGGGGATGTTTTCCCTTCCTCCTTTCCTTTCTGTCTCTGGTGAGTTGCTTGCACCTGCTGGAAAAAAAAAAAAAAAGAAAACTCAAAAGTTAAATAGAATAATGAGCCCCCATTACCTATTACCCAGCTTCAACAATTATCAATATTTTGCCAAACCTGAAGAAACCATATGACCAAGATGTATTCGATAGTGTATTGCTGTAAAATTTTAATAACTTTGAGATCTAGGGGCAGTGTCAATCTTTCTAGAAGGGATTATCTTTCCAGTATCTTCAGTAATATTGTAAAAGAAGATACTGTCATTTAAAATTTGATCTCCTGTAGTGGCCCCATGGTAAGTTAGTCCTTCTTTATAAGCTTTAAGATTTGCCTCTTCTAGCTTACAAGCTTTCCTCTAAACGTTGTCTTGGAGCATCCTAAGTGGAGCAAAACTGTTATATCTGCATTACTAGCTCCCCTTCCCTCGGTCCTGTCTGACATTTCTGCCTTGCCCAGGCTCTCTGTCGAGTTGGAGACAGTGTTCAGTAGATTCCCAGCACTGGAGGTGCCAGATGGAGATATGATGTTTTGATGCTGTATTGCCTCAATTATTTTTGAATACATATTCTGATTATAAATTTGTTCCATTATGACTAAAATGAAAATATTACCCTTGGGACATATGGATGCCTGAGGTTGAGATTTGAGCTATTGTTGAAATATGATTATCTTTTCCCACTTCACCGCCCCAATAAGAAAAAGAGTGAGGAAGTGTTTATTTCTTATTTCAAGGTCAGTAGACTGTTACAGACCTTTGGAGTGAATCTACTCTGTTAAGTTTTATATAGTCTTTCTTCTAAAAAAGAAATAAAACCAAAGTTAGCTTGAATAGTGATACATTGCAAGATTTTGTTGTTTTCCTCATCTACATTGATAAAAATGATAGAACTCTGTGTGTGTGTGTGTGTGTGTGTGTGTATGTGTGTGGTGTGTGTGGTGGTATTGCTGTTTATTGCCAGTTTTTAGCATCAGAATTGCACCAGGTGGCTAGATATGAAGTCATCCTATTATAGGGTAGAAAATAACAGGAAAGTTGATGTGAGGAGGGGTTCCTCAAAAAAGGTTATTGATTTTGCTGTAAACTCATTTGTAGTTTTTCAGTATCCACAAAGTAAGAAGGATTTACAGTGGTTTCTTTATGATGTGTTAATAAGGCATTTGTTGTAATAAATTAATGTATTAAACAATTATATTGAACATGAATTTTTTGTATATTTATAAAATGCATTTTTATAAAGTTGATTTGTCTATGTAACCAAGAATATAATAGGATCGTATTAGGTCGTTTGAAAACTCATGATGTATTTTTCGGTTTTTCTATGCAAAACTGCATCATTACTTTTGTGACAGTCCAATATATATGTGTTTACTGGGAAATGTTTTAATTTTATGATAATTTACCTAGAAGATTGTTATAGACCTTTAAAGTTGGCATTTTATAATATCAGATACAGAACAAATTAAAATATAATTTGGGGAAACAAGAGATTTTTTAAAAATAGAGAAAATTTAGGAAACATAAACAACTCAGATGACAAACGTTAACCAGTACCTTTCTCCTTTTCATTTCTCTCTTTTCTCGCTTCATCTACATATTATATAGCTTCAAAGGATCACATTTTTGTAAGCATTTTCATATAAGAATGTGTCATGAACATTTTCTTATGTTATTAAAGGTGACACAATTATTTGCAATAGCTTAGGTTTTTGTATTAATGGCCCAAATCTAGTCTCTATTCAGTTCCTTGTCAGTGAACATTTCAGTTCTTTCCGATTGTTCCTTATTCTGTGCAGTTCTCTCGAACATCTTTGTAGAGAAACTGTCTATGCTGCTGTTACATTGTTGAATATTTAAAGCATTTGATTCTTCCGACCAGACTGCTTTGCAGAAGGATGTCGCCTGTGCCTCTCCCCTCAGTGTCACAGACTGAATTGTCTAGCTTGGAATGTGCACTTGGCATGCGTCCTGCGCATGGAGTGTAATGAGCGAGACTCATTCAACAAATGACAATTTCCCCCAATTAATTGTGCATTATTTTTGTCTTTTAATTTAAGACATGCAATTAACTGTGATTTACTGTGTTGGGGCACGTGTGTGGTGAGAGAGATGAAGGAACCACACTTGAAACTACAGAGAAGCTGCAGATTGTCAAAACGGGATGGTTTCAGGCAGCAGAACAATTAGGAACACAAGGCCTTAATTCAGAATTTGACATGTGAAGGGCTTTAGAAACAGTTCTATTGTCTTACCTTTTTCTCTTTCTTGAACAATACCATAAAATTTTGATTAAAAGAGACGAATGCAATTTGTATGATAATAGATCCCATGTTGAAAACTCTGTTATTTTTATTGGAAAAATGTGCACTGGGGTGGGAGAAACACTAGAATGTATTGAGTTTATTCTGTGTGGTAGACACTTAAATATTCTTGATTCATTGTCTCTTCAGCCAAATGAAGTGCAGTAACCCATATTTTTGAGACAGACACGAGACTCAGAGAGTGTTAGAAATTTGCCCAGGCCTCATCACACAAGTGTATATGTATGTATGTGAGTGTATATATTATATATACACTATATGTATTATATATATGTAAGCTTACAGAGCTGCCTAATCTTCTAGTAAATTATTGATCATTTTATATATATATATATGTGTATATATATATGTATATAGTTTTCTACATATAACTAATGCAAGGGGAGAGACCTTCAACAAGTTTATTGAAAATGCCTATTATGAAATAATTATGCATGGATTTCAATTTGTTTTACACCCAGATAAGCTTGGACTTTAATTGCATTTTTCCACCAACTTTTTGAAGTCTTCTTATATGACACTCATTCTATGTAAATAGATTACACAAAAAATAGGTAAAAAAATGTATCATGTAATTAAAGAACATTTTGTAATTTGACTAACTCAGTAACAATAAATAGTCAGCCTTAGTACTTTGCAGATTTTACCTGCCAAAGTAAACCAGATTATAGTGTATTTATAGACCTATTCAGTTTTAAATAGAATGCAATTCTGAATTCCAGGTTGTCAGAAAGCTTTAACTCTTTTTTTTCCTTATAAACAAAGTTATATTTAAGCACTTACCTGAGCTTTAATTTCTATAGCAGATGCATCTATGTGCATTCTGATTAATTAAATTACACTTGATTTAGAATCACTATGGCTTTCCTAATGCAGAGGTCTGCTCTGCCTGTATATAATAAAAATAATAAATAATAAAATAATAAATAATAAAACCATGTGTGTTGGGGCAGGGATATTCAGACTCATTTCCTGAAAGATGTCTGAATTTACATTATAGGGAAAACATTTCAAATCCCTTATCCAGCCCGTGTCCTGGCCACTGCTGCTCTGTATGTTGTAGCGCAGCTAAACTTGGTGCCACATTGGATTCTTCTAGTTGGCCTTTCCTTTGCCCTGGATGCTCACCCTCCTGCTTCTCGTGTGGCTTCCTTCTTCTCCTAATAGATGCCATAGTTCATGTCACCAGCTCAGAGAATCTCCCTTGCCAAAAGTACAGCCTTTCCTATTATTAGGTTCCAGTGCCTCTTCAATAACACTTTTAATTCACTGAAATTATTTTGTTCATTGGGTTCTCTGCATTTATCGTGTTAGCCACTTGATTATAAGCTACATGAGGGCAAAAACGTGACCTGTCTTGCTCACATATCTATGCTGCTATGTCTAGGACCACATTTAGCATATAGTAGATGCTCAGTAAATATTGGCTAAATGAATAAAAATACGTGTGACTAAACTGAATTATTAGCCTAAAAACTAAGCCCTCCTGAGCGTACTAATTTGCATTTGATTAACTTGTGCTAGCAGCTTACAAACTCCTCTTCATCAGTGCTATCCTGGCTCTGCACAGTCAAGATTGCACATGGAATCAGGTGACTGTGGAGAGTGTTAGAGTCTCAGGGTTGCTCTGAGGCTTTTATACACATGGCCTCCACATCTACCTGATCTTTACTGTGGTTGTTATCTCAGCCTGCAGAAGTACACAGCACTGAGTAAATGTAAACATGCACAAAGTATGCATAAGATTTGACATTTTTATACTGTAGACCCTAAATGTAATAGTCTGTAGATATGCTGTTGTTGAGAACAGAGTGTGTTGAACATTGAATTAGGAGACTTGGCTCTGTCTGTCACTAGCTTGTAACTTTCAAGAAGTGATTTATCCCATCCGAGCCTTACACATATCTGAAAAAGAAGAACATTGAACAGATACTTTCCAAGGTCCTTTTCAATACTAGCTTTTTATGTTGTACATTTCTATTAACCTAATAAGTACTAAATCCTCACTGGTGGGTAAAATCTGTCCATTGAATCTGGAGTTAATGCTATTCACTCCTTTCCTAGAATCATAACTTTTGATTCTACCTTTTGGAAATTCAAATAGATGAGA